GCGGTGGCTCACGCCTGTAATCCCAGCACTTTGGGAGGCCGAGGCGGGTGGATCACGAGGTCAACAGATCGAGACCATCCTGGTCAACATGGTGAAACCCCGTCTCTACTAAAAATACAAAAACATTAGCTGGGCATGGTGGCGCGTGCCTGTAATCCCAGCTACTCAGGAGGCTGAGGCAGGAGAATTGCCTGAACCCAGGAGGCGGAGGTTGCGGTGAGCCGAGATCGCGCCATTGCACTCCAGCCTGGGTAACAAGAGTGAAACTCCGTCTCAAAAAAAAAAAAAAAATTTAGTTACTGAACAACACCTGAATAAACAAGGAAGCATCTGTAAGGCAATTAATCTGGCGGTGAGACCCACTCACAAAGAATTGGAAAAGGGCAATGTGATCACCTGGGGGAAAAGGATTTGCTTGTATTTCTGCAGGTCCAAATCGGCAAGTGGTGTGGGTACCATCCAGCCATTAAAAGCTGTACTATAAGCCAAATATCCAAAAAAGAGACCTGCAGAGGGCCCACGCCCCTCCCCACCCCCCGGCCCCAGTTGCAGAGGTGGTGAAACTAACACCGAGGGGAAATACTGTTCCCAGACGGGGAACACGCCAAACATCATTACCGACTTGGGGTCAAATTAAATAAGCTTTCACAAATAGCGGAGGAAAAGCTGAAGAAAGCAGGAGAGCCTATTATGGTAATCATGATGACAGTTGTCAAGGTTCAAGTGAGTATTCCTGGAGTTGCAATCGTAGTAAAAGAAACTTTCACACATTGGGCACATATTTTTCCTTCCTTTAATGATCTCTGGTCTTAGTATTTTCTGTAATAATTTTGGAAATAAAGTAACAGTGTTTTGGCCATCAAAATCTGAATGCAAATAAAGAATGGTCCTCTAAGTTAAAAACATTAATCTGGAAATTCTGTGTGGTGATAGGAGGTGCTGTGCAACAATTCCTGTGAAATTATTATTGGTCCCCAAAGGGGATACTTAGCATTTGATAGCACCAGTCAGTCCTCTTGTAGTAACATGAAATTCAGATGGTGGATAAAGAACTACAATTATTTGGAATTTATATATACTGAGACTATATATACTCCAGACAACACTATTGTCTGGAGAGATGAGGACTAATACAACCATGACCAAAAATAGTATGGCCAGTACTAAGAGCTGAATAAAAGAACTTTGAAACTACCTATGGCCATAAAACGGGTAAGTCTGGAAAGGAAAATATAATAGAAAATCAGGCCCTAATTTTTATTCATTAGAAGCTTACAAGAAATGAAAACTTTTTAGATTCAGAACTGTATTAAACCCCCTCATATCTTTTGGTGGTGGGACAGTTACAGGTTAACTTTACTAACTACATAAAGTAAAATGAGACTGAACATAATCCGGAGAGAATAAAACAGCACCTGGAAAGGCTTTCAGACAGCATGTAAAGAGGAGGGACTCAGAGGGCCCGTGATGCCCCTTTTCAGCCAGTCTTAGTAACAGATGAACGACCTCGGCCCTATTTCCCAAAAGATTTCTGGGTCCCAACCCCTTAAAGAAGAAATCTAAGAGCAGGTAGTTAGTCAGGTTCTGAGGTGCTTAAGGAAGCTGCTATTAGATTGACAGCCCCAAAATTTGGATGAAAACACTTGGAGAATCTATGATTACTGTTACGATTATGTTATTAATCTGTTTCTCCTTGTGTAGTTTGCAAGTATGGATCCAGAAACCTCCAAGAAACGGTTCACCAAGATAGAGCTCTCCTTGCTTAGCTAACTTTGTGAAACAAAGAAGGGGGAAGATGTTGAGGAACATTAAGTTTACCCTGCCCCCATGGCTCCTTTGTGGAGCATGCTTTTAGTTTGTAATTAGTGGTATGCGGGTAACAGCTGCCTACCTGATGTATTTTTGAGTTATGTGTAAATACAGAACACCTGTGTATTAATGAGAATCACCTGTGTAATTGCAAATAACTGCATGGGTGAATCTGTGTTCCAGGCCTGCAGTCCTGGAGAGCTGTCAGCACCCCAGGCTCTCAGGCTGTTGGTCCCAAGGATAGATCCATGCAGTTGTACAGTCTGGGTGTCTGCCTCTCAGATACCTTCAGCCCACCTGGGGGTCTCCTGACTGAGCTGGTTCTCTGTAGGTACAGTCCCTGCTGGAAATTACACCAGGACAAAGGTCCCTCTTAATTTATCCACCAGCAACAAAACGTTGTGGAATGGTCAAGGTAACAGCCCCAATAAATATTCCCCATCTAAAGTCAGTAATACATTTTGTTTTTTTGAACATTTATAAAATAGGGATTGATTTACACTAGGTTAATTTGGAGACGTGGCAAGATTGGGAGTTTTGGGAATCTAAATATTTCATCTACTCACTTTTCTAGGGAAGATGACTGAGTAGATTATTCATGATTACTGCAGAAAATAGACTCTCTGGGCTTTTCTCCCTTCACTTGTATTAAAGAATGTCTTCACGACTCAGACTTTACCAGGACATTAATTCATGACAATATGATAGACCAGGTTTTTCATGAGAGAATGGTTTCCTGAAGGGAAAATGGCAGGAAAATATTTTCAGAAACTGCCTCCAGATCTCACACCGAACTTAGTGGAAGATTAATCTTGTAGAAAGCACAAAGCCTTTCCAATTTTTTTTTCAGGTGTTTGGAGACCTATTACACAGGTGAACATGTACCTGCGTTTTAACAGGTGTTCTTTCAGTTTCTACAAATACCCAACAGGATCTACTAAATTCCTTTAATGGTTCCCACAATGATTCTTCAAAAGCAATTCTGTTAAGTACTCCTTGAGGTCAGGAGCTCATTCACAGGAGTACTGACTTTCAGAGGTCAGCAAAATGCAGTTTTCTCTAAGTGCTGTTCTTCTTCAAAAACTGAGCTTGTCTCTTCTATGTCCTTTATGGGAATCTGTGAAGAGCACACCCACTCTTTAAGTGGGTGGAGTATTAAGAAAGCTTGAGAATAAGATGATTAGGTTTATGTATTTCCTTTACAAAATAATAGTGTTAAAAATATTATCTTAAATCTATACAATGATACCATTTGTAACTCATATTCTTACTGTATGTTTTATGAATTATGAGGATACTAATTGTTACTTTTTTTCTATTATTCTTCAATAGTTTTGAAAAAATTTAAATACCTAGTGTTTGCTCCAACAGATATGTATGCATAATGAATATGTAGAGTTCATATTAGTACATATACGTTCACAGGTGTGTGTATATATGTAATGAATGTATTAACATTGTTGAACTGAGAAGACATTAATGAATCATGTAAATGATTTGCTTTCATAATGTTCAGCTTTAGACATGACCTTAAATTAGTAAGGTAATGATGGGCGATGTAAAATAGTGAAACTGAAAAAAATAAGTTCCCCAAAATATCCTAGTTTAGAAATCAAAACACAATTTTTTGACCAAACAAATATATAAGACATAATTTGATATGTGATGGTGGCTGCAATCTCACTTGAGTATTAATCTTACTCAACTATGAAAAATTCCTTAAAATGAAACAATGACCTCTGGAGAATATTTGCAATTCTGAGATTTTCATTTCTTTCACTTAAACTCAGCAGTGTTATCAACGAAAGGAGAGTAAAGAACTTAAAATTGCCAAAACAAAGATTACAGTTTATATATTAGGGCTCTCCAGACAGACAGACCTATAGGATGTATATGTGTCTATGTACAGATACATTCATGAGCCATTTCAGTCAACCAAAAACCACACATGCTAATCACATAAGATTATAACGCCAGCACACTTACTGTACCTTTTCTGTATTTGAATATATTCACAAACAGAATAATTACCCCTTGTGTTACTGTTACAGTTGCCTACAGTATGCAGTACACAGTATACTGTACAGTTTTGTAGCCTAGGAAGAAGCAGCTGTACTGTATACCATAGGTGTGTAGCAGGCTATACCATCTAGGTAGGTGTAAGTATCTTCTATCATGTTAAAACAATAATAAAATTGCCTGGCTGGATTCAGTGACTCACTGCCTGTAATCCCAGCGTGGGTGGATCACTTGAGGCCAGGTGGTCAAGTCTAGCCTGGCCAACATGGCAAAACTCTGTCTCTACTAAAAAAATAATAATACAAAGATTACCCTGGCATAGTGGCATGTTCCTGTAATTCCAGCTACTAGAGAGGCTAAGGCAGGGAATCTCTTTGATCCAGGAGGTGGCGGTTGCAGTGAGCCAAGATTGTACCACCGCACTCCAGCTGGGCTACAGAAGGAGACTCCATCTCAATAAGTAAAACCACCTTACACATTTCCCAGACCATATATCTGTTCTCAAGTTACACATGATTCTACAGGAGAGGGAATTCATCAGGAAAACCTGTTTCTTGATTATGGAGTCTCAGCTGTTCCAATATAGACTGTCTTTAAGCTGGAATCCTAAGGATACCTGTATCCTGACTGAGATCAAGGCTGAAAGCCTCAGAACCAGCTTCGGGAGAAAGACAAAGGAAATTCCCTTTTCTTGGCCCTTTTCCTTTTATCTGAGCTACCAGCTGATTGGATGGTGCCTACCCACATTGAGGGATGATGTTCGCACTCAGCTCAGCAACTCACATAGCTCTGTCCTCTGGGAACACCTTCACATACTCACCCAAAGCAATGATTCACCAGTTCTCTAGATACTGGTTAATAGTCATACTGATACCTAAAATTCACCATCACACCATAGAAATATGATTATACCTATTTGAGTTTAACAAAAATCTCCTGTATGTTAGTCCAGAGTTTGCGTACCCCTAGGAGAAATTAATTTAACCCATGAGAAAATAAAAAGACCCAATATTTTTAATTAGTCCTTTTTCTCTTCTATTAAACCTAGATTGGTTTAATTGCTGTCTTTTTCTTTGTTTATTTGATTGGTTGGTTTTTTTTTGGTTTTCATTTTGATTTTTTATTTTAAGTCCTGAGGTAAATGTGTAGGACATGCAGGATTGTTACATATGTTAACAGGTGCCATGGTGGTTTGCTGCCCCACTTTTGTGTCCCTGTCTAAAAATAAGTCATAGAACCGTGTGGCCATCTTTTCATATTTCTTTGTCCAAAGTAGTGTTTTTTTCCCCCAATCTCTCATAGTAATTCAGTCATTATTTGAAAGAAGAATAGGAACAACTACTGTTTATTCTAGACCACTTAGAACCAAAACCCAACTTCTAGATTCACATTGAGAAAATGGGTAATTCGGTAGATTTGTATTATGTTACAGACAGAAACTAGCAGAAGGGACTGTGTCTCGTCTAGTCAGTCACATCTGCTATTAAGCCTGCAGACTCTCTTTGTGCGTGGGAATTTTATTTATGTTAAGGAAGAAATAGTTTGTTGTACTTTAATCAACACTGTCAAGACAATAAAGCTATCACATATCTCCACGTGTTCAGAAGTTTTTCATCAACCCAGGCTCCAAAATAACATGTTGCTCTTTCTTCTTCAGAAACATGGAATCTGGGTTCTTGAAAGCCTTCCAGAGGACAGTCACCTGCCCTATCTGCATGAACTGCTTCATAGACCCAGTCACCCTAGACTGTGGGCACAGCTTTTGCAGGCCCTGTTTCTGTCTCAGCTGGCAAGACATCCAAGTTCTAGCTCAGTGCTCTAAGTGCAGAAAGACAACACAGCGGAGAAACCTCAAAACTAACATTAATTTGAAGAACCTAGCTTCCCTTGCCAGAAAAGTCAGTCTCTGGCAATTCCTGAGATCTGAGGAGCAAATGTGTGAGATTCACAGGCAGACAAAGAAGATGTTCTGTGAAGTGGACAAGAGCCTGCTCTGTTTGCTGTGCTCCAACTCTCAGGAGCACCGGGATCACATACACTGTTCCATTGAATGGGCTGCTGAGGAACACCGGGTAGGTGATGACTCTGAAGATCTGTTTCTCTAAGGCACACATAAAGTTCCTGTGAGGCTGTTTTCTTGGAGATGGGATAAAGGCAACTCTGGGTCTCTTTAATCATCCCTGTTCTGGTCTTTCTTAGCTGGAAACTTCTGAGATTTGACCAAAAAAGGGGAAAACAGAAGAAATGCCGTTTACTAGGGGCTCGCCTCTTATTCTGGACCCCCTCCCTATGTCACCATCTGTATGTTACTTTATTGTCTTCACTGATGCTTCAATTTATGGCTCTTTTACAGGAAAAGCTTTTAAAGAAAATGCAGTCTTTATGGGAAAAAGCTTGTGAAAATCATGGAAACCTGAACATGGAAACCACCAGAGCCAGATGCTGGAAGGTTAGTAGCATATAAACTCTACCTTCTCTAGGAACTTACGGTGGGTAAATGGGTAGCTCTTAAAATAGGAACTTGATATCAAACAGTAATGTTTCTGGGATTCAATTTAAAAAAAGGAGACGACATTAAGAAAAAGTGGCCTTATTTCTTATACAGAATAGCATGGCTGTTTGGTAGGATTTCTAACAAAACCACTGACGTTACCCAAAGCATGCTGGTTTGTTTCCATACAAACCTATAGCTATACACCAACAGATACGAGACACGGGGCCATCTCACAGCATTCTATATGTGCTGGTGGGATTAATGCTGCTCACAGTAGTTATTTGGCAGCCATGGAAAGCGCAAGCAAACCGTCCAAGTGTCAGTCAGCACTAATCTGAATGTTGATATGCAAGTAGTATTTGGGAATATATGAAAAATTTGATGCAGAAAAAGTGACAGAGCAAATCTAGGGAAACCATGAAATTAAGAATCTTAACTATTTCATGTTGAATAATACATATGATGAGAAAAGTGGTAACAAATGTGGATTTGTGTCTTGAGGGAGACATATAAACATGCCAGAATATTGGGAACTAGTATCTAAATATAAGGAGAACTCTGAGGACTTCCAAAATATTAAAAATGATTTTCTCTTTGTGGATGTATACTTTTAGGGTATGATAAGTAATATTAGTTTGTTGAAAAGTATTTCATGAGACCTAGTCTATATCGATTACTAAATTAGAAAAGCTACTGATAAAAAAGAAATGAAGCACCTCTGTCCTCATAAATCATACAATCCAAATGAGAGAGGTAAATGGTCAACATGCAAATACGTGCAATACGTGATGTGTTACAGTGTGGTAGGTTCTTTGTTGAAGAATAGTCAAGCAGGGAATTAGAAAAGGACAATAGTGGCCAGAAACTGGAGATGAGTGTCTGAGCTTTAAATAGGGTGGTCAGAAAAAAGCCTCACTGAAAAATTCAAATTGAAACAAGGTTTTGAAGAGGAAGGGAAACACTAATGTGTCTATGGATATATATGCAAAACATGAGTGTATAAATATATGCATTATATATATGCATATATAAAAATTATAGTTGGATAGAACAGCACAGACAGTAATTTTGAAGTTGTGTATATTCGAAGGCCTGAGGGACCACAAGGAAGTCTATGTTTCAGATTGGGATGAATTAGTAAAAGAATGGAAGGAAATGAATTCGGAGGGACAAAGAGGGCCAGATCATAAATGTAGCCCTATTACGATAGGTTTTGCTGGATAAAACGCATTTAGCTGGGCATGCTAGTCTAAGGTCATTTCACATATAATAAGTTTAAACAACTTGTTGCATATCTCAGAAATAGAAATATCTATTTCTTTCCTAGTAAACATAGCTCAGTACTGCAACTCTTAAGCATGAACTGTTATTACTTTTCCATAAATATGGGTTGGAATAGAGAAATCCAAATTTTGGATTTTTTTAAATTTCTGACTGTCTTAGGAAACACATTATCTTGAACAAATTTAATGTAATCTGTCAGATATATCTATGTTGATCTTTATGTAGAAAGAAAGGAAATGAACAAAAGTTTGCGCATTCTGAGAACTGGCAAGACTGAGTTTTTTTTTTTTTTTTTTTTTTTTTTG